AACTTTTGATTGGTTCAAAAAGACGGCGAGGAGGAGACAGATTTTTTTTTTTCTTTTTTCTTTTGAATGATATCCCGTTCTCTTCCAATATTCCCCCTGTGAATCGACACCACTTTTACATATACAAGCACAAAAGCAGAAGAAAATAGTTTTAAAGTGATTATTTTGCAAGTGGAAAAAAAAAAAAAAAAAAAAAAAAAAAAAAAAAAAAGATGCAAGTGAACGACATACCAAAGGGAAAAGTCCCTACACCGAATCAAATCCCTTTGTTTGCCAAATTTAACTTACTGCCCATATTGACTCGTAAGAAGAAGATTTCGAAACTAGAATAACGGCCGTCACGAATAACTTTAAACGGAAAACATTCATCTGATAGCGGAAGGCTATTCTAAATAGGTTTTAATTGCGGAACCCGGCGGAGGGCGAGGCGAGTTTGGCTGGCTTTTTTTTCCCTCTCTTCTCGAAATATTCCAGGAGAGTTTGAGTAGTTTGTCCTAATAAGGGCATACACAGGTGGATGGATATATATATACTCTCATCGCTAAAATGTGCCGTCTGATGTCTACTACGCTCTATGTGGGTTGAAGCGCGGCACGGGAGGATTGCGCGCTGTTTCTATACAATACACTTCCTGAACCGTTTGTTTTTGGAACTTGACTTCCTATCATCATCATCATCGTGTCGTGAACAAAGAAGAGAAGAAAGAAAGGAGGGTTTTCTTTCCTTGACAAACCTTGTTTCTGCGTAGTGTATATATATATATCTATATGCATACTCTTGGGTCTATCAGAAGCGCATATCATTCGCCATGCAGCCGAGCGCAAGTCTCAAGATCCGAGAAACAAACTTACGAAGGGACGCGCGAAACAAGAACGAAAGATTTGCAAATTTCTCTCCTCTGATTGCGACATCCCTAAGAACAAGTAATTCATCAGTGAGCACCTCGATCATGCCATATCATGCTATCTCATGATATCAAGCGCTATGGCGCCATGTCCCCACCGGATGAGAAGCTTTCAGGTTTCCAGACCAAACCGGACTGATTCCTTAAGTTTAGGTCCCGGACGGGAATACGGAGTACATCCATACGATATATAACTTACGGGCCCCGCAAGCGATCTGCTCCCCGCTTGGGCCGCTGTTCGCAACCAACCTAACCGAGCACGTTGTTGGTGAGTGTTGGTGAAGGGCGGCCTGAACCCCGGCCAACAAGCCCGATTGGCCAATTACATCCGGTTCCTGTTCCTGGTTTTGGCTTCGGATACCAGCGGGCCGATTATGTTAGATGGGAGAAGTTGTGTACATGTTTGTATGAGTGTTTGGCTGGTGAAGTTACATAGAATCAGCAGTGAAGGATATATTTCGCTGCACGCAGGGAGCGGAGAGATAAAAGACAAGACGTCGAAAACTGAGAGGGAAAGGCGAGGATCAAAAAAAAGAAAAAGAGACATATTTATGTCCTTCATCACTAATTGTCACGTCTTTGATAAGCTGTGGGGACCCCGGCAGGAGCCCTTGGCCAGCAAGATTAGGCAGAGAGAAGAAGAACAAAAAGTTAAGACGAGAAGTAAGAGGACCCGGCGGGCACTTAAAGGAAAAGCATATATAACTACTGCGGAGGACGGAGGACTGTCTTGGTTTTCTGGTCTGATATTTAACTACCACTGGACTGTATATCCAAACAACAACAACAAACAGCAGCAACCCCCTGAAGACGACAGTTCTACATCCAATCAACACATCCACATATACGGAGTAGTATATTATCTCACGACAACAAATACATCTTCAACAGGGCTAATCTAGCGGCCGCCGTCGAAGTCACTAATCGAGTGGAGTCTCACCGCCCTCATGCCCCCTCCACATCCACCACGCCGTCGTCCCGCTGCCTTGTATCAGCCATGTGCTAACCCCTCGCTCTGTCCTCTGCACCCCTCTCCTCATAAACACCCGCTTGTCTGCTCAGGATACAACAATGTCAAGAAGACTGTTATTTCTCTAAAAGGCCAGCGAATTGCCCGACAATTTGTCACCAGGACTACTACCACTACTTCTACTACTACTTCAGCCCCCTCGGCGCCAAGGGCTCTTCGGCTAAACGCCAGGCCAGCCGCGGCTAAGCAAGGAGTTGTGCTGGAAGACGAGCAAGATCCCTTCATGGCAACGGTTTTTCTTCAATTCTGGTATGTTCCGGTTATATATTCCTCTGGTCCAGCTGTTTATAAGCAAATATGCCCATACATTTCTCGTCCTTTCCTTCCTCTTATTTACTAAATCAGTCTTGTTAATTTGCTAACAATGACTCAAGTCCCACATGTGAGAGACAGATTATGATTCCAAGCGATTCAATTCTCTACTGTAGTGAAAGGTATTTACAGACAAGCATAAGCAAGCACCTACTGACCTGAAGTGCCTCGACAGAAAAGGCCGCCTTCGTCTCTCTCTCATTTCATCTATATCATTTCATCTCAGACTCTAACCTCATAGCCACAGCTGCCGTCGAAAAGATTCATCAAAACCTCTAGACCTCTCCCACCTCACAACTCGCAATATGGCTTCCTCGAAAAGATCTCCGCCAGCATCCCCGCCGTTCACGCCCAAAGCCATTGTTGCTCCAATAGCTCCCACGCAGGCAGCATCATGCTCAAATTCTCCACTCCAAATTCCCGTGAAAGACCTTGAAGACCCCCCTTCAGGACTGGACCTCCCCAAATGGCAGCCAAAGATAAACCACCAGGCCACCAATGCCCTGACATCCACAGAAGCATTCCGCTATCTGTCCTTATTTCAAACGACAAACCCTCCCAGCAGCGTCACAAGCAGCTGCAGTAACATCAACTGCAAAACTACAGACGACAACGCTACTCATCACAACATCAACAACTCTACGACTGCTATGAATACTACTACTAATAATAATGCCGACAATGGCACCACCCATCCGCGTCCCGTCCCGATAGCCTACCGCAGCTCTACCAGCATCTCGACAACGAGCGGCCAAAGCACCACCCAGGTGCCGTCCCTTGCGCATTCCCCATCAACATCTGCCGCGTCTTCAATGCTAGACAGCCCTACCGAACCAATGGCCGCATATATGCCTACCACCATCACCACTCATGCACTTCCACAGCCGACAACACACCATCAACGAGTGTCATTGCCTCCCCGTCATAATGCTGGCAGCGACACGAACTCCAAACCCAATTTCGACCTCGCCATGCCGTACATCGTTGCAGACCCAAATGACCACGCCTCGGGGCCTACAATAGGTGAAAATGAGAATAGATCGGTGACGGCGGCAGGTACTGTCGGTAATGGCGGTGATGGTTGTCTTCTTCGATAGGAGAATATTGGGCGGGGGAAGTTCGTGGAATAATCTGCCTCTTCTGCTTCACCTTCGTCTTCTTCTTCTGCATCTGCAGTAGGGGCGCATGGCTTTAATTGTGAGAATTGATATAATATCTCGGCAAAGGGAGCCGTGGCTTGGCTTGACACACACAACCCCTGTGTCTATTTTTATCAGTATGCATGACTAATGATAATGAACTATGTTGGTACACTGGTAAACCCCTTTATTTTCGCTAGGGCCCGCCTAATATTTTTAATGGCATACTAACCATCATTATGGGGTATATTATATATAGCATTCTTGTGTTTGAAGACATGTTCTCATCATCATGGAATTAATAATAATAATAATAATAATAATAATATCTTGTATAGCCACCGTCTGTCTCTATAACTGTCTGATAGTGAGCACACATCTCTGCTAAGCTCTCATAACCAGAGGTTAACATAATCAACCACCTAACACTCGTTTACACCTAACGCTCGCACAAATCTTACCTCAATCTCCATGTTCAAACACTCACAATATGGACCATGAATCAGCCATACAAGCAGTAATTGATGATTTGAATGTGCAATTGACTACTAATTACACTACAACTGTAAAAAAATATGGAATCAGCTCATATATTATCACAGCACTATAATAACCTTTAAATGTCAACAAAGAAAGCAATCTACTCACTGTTAAAATCATTCAAATTTGTAAGAAAAATGACTTCTTTTTCATATTAATTAATTAACAGATCACAGTTTCTCTTATATACTTTAAATTCTTCATAATTTTATTATTGAGATTCTAAAATTATTTGTGAAAGTTAACTAAGTGTTATAGTTCTATTAATATTATAAGAATGTAATCAGATTGATTTATCTGTGAAATATTAATTAAAAATATAAGAATACTGATAATTTAATATATTTTAAATGTTACTTTAATCTTGTATTTAATTTATTACTTTTATTATCTTTTTATCTTTATTATAATTATTTTCCTAATTTAATTTCATTTAATTTAACAGTTGTAGATAAAAATCATATAATATAATATTAAATCTAATAATATTTACAACTTTAATAAAAAAGAATTTCTATTAAAACTTATTCACACTTTTAAATATATTATATTAATTATTACTTTTAAATTTGAATATATAATAAATATTAATCAGAATAACAGTAGAGAATTTATAACTTTATTTACTGTAATTTATATAGATAGAACTGTTCTTTTATTTACTCTTATATATTAAGAGAAATTAAGAGATATATAAAATAACTGATTTGAAAATTTTCATAGTAAAAAGAATAGACTGACTACTGAAACTATAAATTTCACATTTAGTCTTATTTAATCTAATCTCATACATTTCTTAATGTAAATTTCACTGAGACTAATTATTAAAAAAACATGCAAAGTAACTATATATCAGATCTTAAAATGAAATCATGAATTAGAAAAATTAAGAAAGTAATTTCATTTAATTTAATTTAGTCTCATTCTTAATATAAAGTTACTATTTTTAGATATTTTAAGATTTTTTTTAGACTATTTTTAATTTTTTAAAAAGTAACACTTTTTGATACTACTTAAATAAGATTTAAAGTCATTTAAAGCAATAAAAAGAATTTAAATTAAGAAGTGAAAATCATGATCTCATTTGAAAAATGTAACAAGAGTAGACAGTAAGTCTTATTAAAATAGTATAAAACTACTGTCTAATCTTCTAGATAGTGTAGTGATTAACTACACTACTATAAAGTCTTAATTAACTGCCTTCTTCTCAGAGAATAAATGTTAAGAGAGAGAAG